TCACCAGAAAGACGAATGATAATACTTCAGTAGATTTATTTATTATCTGCAGTTAATCTGGTGAGATACATCATACTGTTGTTTCTCAACAAGTGGTTACTGACAATGAATACCACGTTGAATTGGAACTTGCATAGTGTTAAATTCAAAGGTTCCAACTAAAAAATTTCCCTGTTTTTGACAGAATGTCGCATTACTAGGTTTGAAAGTTAAGAGAAAACAAATCAAAACGTACTTAATTTGTCTCAAAAATTCCCTTATATTCAAATGGCGTATATACCGAATGCCTGCAGAATTTTTTAATGCAATATAAATTTCACTTACGTGATTTTTCTGTCGGTAATTTAATGAGTTGAGATTTAATACGTGACATTATGTTAAGCAATGGCAAATGTAAATTTGTGTATATAGAGCGCAACCAAACTGCATTTATGAAAATGTTGTTTCCTATATTGCGTATTATTCTACAATCTACAAGCTTCTTTTTATATTCATATAAACCACATGCAAATAGTTTAACATAGATAAATGATCCAAGTTAAATCTGGTATACGTTCAGTTAAATTATATTACATAAATTATATTATTTTAACATGACATCCGAGTAAATTATCATTGGTGGTTTCCAAATTTTAAAGTGACAAATCGACGGTTTGAATCCCTTAGCCTATTCAATCAATCTTTGCTTGAGATATTTTCAATTGATAATATTTGTATAAAAGCTGATAATATAATAATTCCAGTAAACTAATCTTCATATAGTCTCTGATTTCTGTCACAAAAATATATTCGTTTGGATGCTAAGTTGTTATTTTAATGACAAAAGTAATATTCATCTCTAGATTCGACAAGTAACCTGTTGCTTGCATGATATAATAATTATTGTGATTTGGCTTCATATTTGATTAAAATTGGCCGACAGTCGGTTACAAGTCATTGCAATTAAAGAAAATCAATACACATATGTAAACCATTAAGTTTTGGTACAACAGCTTCTGAAATATATACATATTTCTTTTGAGCAATGTATTCACATTAAATCCATTATTCAAATTAGACAGTCAATATGCCATTTTATTTCGCTACGTATAAAATGTTTGGTCGTTACTCAAGTTATTGTATTTTCTACTGAGTAGCTGCAGCCAATGTAAACTTCTAATTAACGTATTTTCTTTTGTAATTGTCTTTGCAACTACATTATGTGACTGCTCTGGTGATCTGTATGATTATGTTAAGCACTTAGCTAAAAAAAACAGCTTAAAAACTATAAAAAGTTTACTTACATCTAATGATCAGTGTTTTATCTTCTGTTTTACTTCCTTTAAAATTCATCACTTGACATGTAAATGTTCCACCGTTATCATCTCTGTTACTGGGATTGATTGCTAATTCACTGTTATCTATATTGAGTTGATATCTATTCAGTGTTGGTAGTGGTGAACCATCTCTCAACCAACTGTAAATTGGTGAAGGATTACCAGATGATGTACATTGCATAGTAATTTTACTGCCTGCATTGGATATAACACTGCCATCAATGAACGTTATACTAGGTTGAGATGGTTCTGTTGCAACTGTGGATAATACAAACATGAATGTATTTGATAATTAGATACACAACAGCATAGAGAGGCTTGTGTCAACCGTTTTTTTATTACAAATAAACTGTAATTTATTTGTTTCATATGTTGTAGCGTGTCATTCTGAACGTTAATTAAAAAAACACATAATGTGACACTGGTCGCAATTTCGATATAGATAGCAAAACCGGTGATACTCGTGGTTCAGCCACGTTTAGTCGGACGGCAGAAGTCAACACTTCAAGCGCACACGTTTCCACAAAACCGCACTAGAATAAATATACGTAAAACATATCATGACCATAACAGATAATCAAATTCCGCAAATACAATAACTGGTTAGGGTACTATTTATGTAATTATTGTTTTGTAAGAACTTTGACTACAACTTCCTCTCATTCTGTATAGAGATTTCAATACCGCCTGCGTACTTCTAGCACTTTGCTAGTTTCTTAGATTAGATCTGCACTAATGCACATTAATAATTCTTGTATAAATGATTTATACGCTTCCAATCGTACTTGGATGATAGACAGGCGGAAAAGCAGTTATTGTATATTCTCGGGGATAGAGCAGCATGGACGTGCACCACTGTACCATTTCTATGGGCAATGCACGACATGCTGTGGAACGCCGGTCGAGAACCAAGTGAAAACGACTGATCGATAAAAACATCAACTGTGAGTAAATATTGCGTAACCACATTTATAAATATAGTATATGTAGGGGTTGTCCTGTAACACTGTTTGGGAAAGCCTTAACAACTTTTTGTGTCATTTCCCCGATGATTTCGTTATTACAATATTTAATTGAATTTAAGTTACGTTTGCGTAGCTTAGATTTAATGAAAGGGGAGGTATGGTTCACTAAACCTAAGCTGATATTCAACATCTATTTGAATTAAAATGTAATTATATGTTGAATTCCATTGAATTGAGTTTAATTAAACTCCAATTAAAACGCAACCCTATATAGGAACGCTTTCTAATCGAGTTCATATCACAACAACATTAATAGTTAATTCAACTATATTAAAAAATAATTCAATGTGTGTCGTCACAACGATCGTACGATCGAGGTCCATAAATTACATGGAATGTGTGCTGGATGATAAAGGTATATTTCTACCATATGTAATATTAGTCAGCTTACCTTCCACAGTGAGTGTGACTGAGTCCTGGTCACTACCATCTGGAAAAGCTGAGACAGAACACCAATACATTCCGGCATCACTCAACTGTGTGTCAGTTATAAGTAAACTAGCTTGGTCTTCAATATCATGTCTGGTGAATCCAGGCTCTGGGTAGTTTACTCCACCAACTGATTGTATAACTAGAGTACCTGTAGCTGTACTACTCCCTTTATACCAATTAACTATTGGATTTACACCAGTAGTTATATATGCACATTCCAATAATGTTGTGTCAGTCTTGAACCCAATGATTGATTCAGGTACAGTAACATCGACTGATTTACATGCTGGAAATAACAAACATGGATTGCATTTTACAATATATTTCTGGGCTTGTCTTTGTTTCTATTGAATCGTGAATTATTTTGTTTTGTTTTCTTTGAAACTCTACACATTCTGATTTACCCTTTGTCGGATATTTTTAAAGCATGATCTCGATGCATCATTTTTAAAAATATTGATAATTGTGTAATAGTTTTATTATTGTTAATGCTGGAAATCAAACATTTTTGGCACTCCAAGGTGAGTGGCCATACATCACGTCACATTTTGCAAATTATGTCACCCGTTCGAGTGGTTGACAAACCATGTTATTAATACTTATATGCATACAGTAAACATATTGTGGTCTTCAAAGTGGGCGTATTCAAGTTCTTTTATGTTCTGTCAATTAATGATGGGAATGGACAACATCAGTCATTAAGTGCTTTTAAAATTGCAATGCCTTGATACGTAGGGTGATACAATACTTCCCTACATCAACGAGAGAGCTTTTCAAAGGTTAATATTTCTAATTATTCAGCTGCTGATAAGTAGCTTCTGACAATGGGTCTTCTAGCTTAGGTTGTTCAAAATACACAACAACAGGGTAAATGTTGACAAATAAAGTGTATTGATGTTTCAAATAATTAGTTTACAGTGGGGCAGCTAGCTTACACAAGATTTCTAAACCATGTAGGCAAGTATCTGTAATTTTTTCAGTCAGGCTTTATTGTTCAAAGCAGTCGTGTATTCAATTAGATCACGTTTTTTTTGTGATTGTTTACAGTGGCTGCTTATTTCCGCTCACCCTTCTCAATTTCACTTCTGTATTGTAATTAATTAATTAACTGATTATAAATTACCAACTATTTCTGACTCATTACAATTAAATTCAAGTGTACCCTGTCACAGAAAAACTACAAACATCGACACAACACACAACATTTTACCTCAATTAAAGGGGGCATCTAAAAAGAGAAAAAGAAACATAGCAGCTGTCATTATTAATGACAGGGTTTGTTATGAGCCGCTAAAGACTACTGCCTTCTCACTGTCACAGTATGTATTGAAATGAAAGCAGGTGATAAATAACAACATTGCCTACAATAAAGAGGACATCAGATATATATTACGAGTGCCTTCAACAGAGATATAGCAGAATATATAGAGAGGAAGCGACTAAATCATACCGTTTACATATGAAAGAGCATTCATTCACTTGAAATAATGAAGATAATACACGTATTATGTATCGTTTAAATATGTCAACATCGCCACATTGACAACTCACTCACGTGATACAGAAGTGTAAATTAGTTATTACTACATAGTTAGCAGAGGTGTAAAGAGCCCTTAGCTAACATCTGGTTAAACAGTACTCCCATGGTACTTAAACAAATCATGATGTACTGACGATCATACTGTTAATTGGTCCGATAAAACTGAAAGCCACTTCCTATCAGGTCATGTTCATGTGTGATTGTAAACCGTAGAGAACTTATAGTAAATATTTACACACTTTTTTGGATTTACTACAGATAGGTCGCATATACTATATGTGTATATTGTAATATAGAATTATACTTACATGCAATGACAGTCAGCAGAACAACACTGACAGTAAACATAGTGGTTCTTTAATAACGTGGCCTTTCCGGGTGCATGAACTTTGACATTTCCACTCGAATAATTACCTGCTGGTATGCAGCAGCAAAGCTACACGTTCAGTATCCGTGACCAAGGGATAAGTGCTCGGTCAATAACATTGGGTAATAATGAACTTTAACCAAAATTTAATCTGACAAAAGTATATTGATATATGACCCCTGACCTAAAATGAGGGAATGCCCCTAAAGGCTGTTTGCTAAATGAAAACTTCTGGAAATATGTAGACATGTTTTTTGTTCTGTTTTCTGTCGCATGGTGTGTCTACATATCTCCTAGTCTAATGCATATCAGTCATTTGTATGACACTGGGATGTAAGTAAGAGTGGATGGTATGGTTTTTGCAACAATAATCAGATAAAAAGATCAGCTTCAGCATTTCAAAAGTGGGCTATTCATTACCACTGTGACTTTAGGCAATTTTGTATTGCACATACAGTCTCAAAACATTGTTTGGAATAAGTTTGATCATAGGCATGATTTAATGTACAAAATACTGGCTTTGGGTTGCGATCTAGGTCACGAAAGAAAGTTTCTCAAAAAGACTGCTTATTCTCGACTTCTATCAGCCCCAAAATAAGTGTGGGTGTGCGTGTGTGTGTGTATGTGTGTGTGTGTGTGTGTGTGTGTGCGTGTTACCAGTGAAGATGTGGAGGAGATGGGCAGTATCACTCATATTCTACTACTTCCAATTGTATGACATCAAAATATGATTCAATCAGATGGATTTAAATAGATATCATTTTACATTTTTATTTAATTTCGTTTTGTTTTATTTCATGGCACAAACATTTGATGAGTTTCGTTTCATTCGATAGCACCACAATGTGGTTCCAGTTATTTGCACAAAGTTACTTTGTTTTAGACGTCACTAGTTTTATTTAATGGCAATTTGTGATAGAGATTATATTTTGGGGGGTAATTGGAAAAGATCCTGATTTCGTACATCTTAAAATTGTTGGCGTTAAGCCAACTACTACAATACATTTCACTTGTTGTGATGATTTTTATGGTTTTAATAATATGTGAACATTTGTATTATTACACCGAATAAATCTTAAAACGGAAATTGTGGCACTCAATTTTGGAAGTCTTCCAGGTCATCCTCATAGAGATGGATGCATGTATGAACACAAATATACAAGTTGAAAGATTATTTTAATTTGAAATGTATGGTTGTATTAATAAACCTAATTTCAGCAGCTTCAGCCCGACAAAGAATTGATTTTCACAAATACATTGGCGCCATTCTGTGCGCATTATACGCTACACTGCGTTCCAGTTTGCATTAGAACACTGAAACTAGCTTAACACGGGGCTGCACACTGCTTGAGTATAGGTTTATGTCAACACCATTCTCTTTCAACAAATACACTGTGCATAAAATGTGATATACAATCAAAACCCACACAATATGAAACAAAGTCCAACATAAAGGTTCCGTCACAAGTAAGTCCACGACTCTCATGATTTGTAGGTACACGAACTGCGCAATCGCAGATCGAATGTCTCAAAGCGCGAAGCTGAGCGCGCATGGCAAAATCAAACGGCAATGGTGACTAAAAATCGCACGAAATCGCTACAAAATCCTAGTTTTTCTTCAATGAGCTAGTCAAATAGTGAACGCAAACCCGGAAAACTAATCAGTTCATGAATATTGCCGTGTGACGTGTTCCTTTGACACGTAAATCGGATAAATTCAGGAGAAAGGTACCTTCGGCTCTGGCATCATCTATATATTAAGGTCCTGACCACCATCCCTTAGGCAGGCAACAAATCATGATATTACCCTCACAAACATGTGTTATTATTTAAGTGTATGCTGGTATATTTTATCACATCTCACCGTTGTTACGCATGCTGTAATTGGTTGAGAGTCGGTCACATGACATTGAATAAAAATGGATATTACATGGTAATACATGCCAAGTGAATATTTAAGCAATAACTTCATGTCGAAGACGTGTATACCACGGGATATCGAGTGGTATACTCGACATCGGTGGGGGGGGGGTTATTACTATTATATTATACCAGTATATTGACAATTCGATAAAACTAATAAGAAAAGAGATTACTTTCATCTACTAAAAATCATGATTATGGCCCTTGAATAGCCATGAATATTTAAAAACAATAGTACGTACTTTAACACTGAATGCACACAAACACGCAACACAGTTCAAATTTAATACAAATTTCTTTTATTCCTCCAGCAAACGAAACGTATCCACAGTGAATAGAGCAGCGTAAACACGAAAATTAGCATAACAAAAGATGACCTTTTACTGACTGCGTCACGCGGTTTGAAATACAGGATCATTAAAACAACGGATTTTCCACGTTTTCATTCCAGTTTTTATACAATTTGGATTGTAATTTGCCCATTGAAAGTACAGTTGTGAATTAAACCAGTTTTGTGACTCATCATACTACTTGTAACTGTGGATATTTGAAGTTCAGCGGTATTTGGTTATACATAATAAATTGAGCGATTCACACTGCTTAAGCATGGTTACTTACAAGGGTATTCGTGGCTAAAAATAACATTTACTGTGTTATTTTTTTCAGCAAACAATGTATATATGCTATTGAATAATGTGAAACTTATAATAAAATAAAATATTGCATACTTCAAATATAAGTGTTGTTATTTTGTGGGAGAGCGGGTTTGAGAGATGTATGGTAGGGTAATTGTGCGTAATGATGTATGTCTGTTCGATGTGATAAAATAAATAACACATGGTCATTTGGGTAATATCACTATTTGTTGTTAAATCGTGATTTCATCCTCACAAACATGTGTTACTATTTAAATAACCAGCAGCAAAATTTGTATATTAACAATTTGAGAGACCCTCATTTCTAATTTAGAAAACGAATAAAATTGCTGCACACACAATAGTTCCAAGTTAGATGTAATTTGCCAGTGAAACTTCTTTTAATTAGTGATTTGTCTTACCCGAACAATTATATTTTGATAAAGCTACTTAACAGTTTCCAAGATTTACGCTAAGATTAAC